ATTGTACTTCTTTCTTTAAGCATATAAGGGTATGTCTGCCCTGTGGCCTCCTACATTTCTGCTTGACTAGTGTGCTGACTGATAAAAGCCAGATCCCCATCAGTAGTCACGTAGCCATGTAAGCACGCTTCTGAGCCTGAGCTGTGAGCTTGCTCACCGTGACGGTCGTCTTACTATTGGTGTAGCATCATGTTTTTTTTTCTTAATAATTTCAATTACCAGCTCCTTGAAGAAGATCCCGAACGCCAGCATCTCCTGCCTAATATCGTCCCAGAGCTACTCCCTTGCAGGGTATGGTGGTAGTACATTGCTGGACATCTGGCGAATACATGAGCAGAGCCTCTTAAATCCTACCTCTGTAACACTACCGTGATTTTCTTGAAAACCTTTGTAGAAATACTGGTTTTGTACCAGAGCCTTTGAAATCCTCCCCTACCACTGGCACCAAAAGAGGAAAACTTTATTTTAAAAAAAAAAAAAAAAAAGTAATGAAGAAAAATTCTTGTCTTCTGGAAGAGTGGCTAGAGATAGGGGTTTGAGAAGAAGTCAGATCTGGTCAGATAGTTTGATCTGGTGGCAGCTAAAAAGTGACCACTTGAAATGCAGAACATCTTGGAAAACATATGGACAGGTGTGTTAAGATTCTTACTAAAAACTTGTGGAAAGGTGAACTCTGTTTATATGGACAGCCTTTATTCTGGTACTTTCTCACTTTAATTGGGTTGGATAGTTTTGAGCGTGTGGCTTATATAAGATGATAAATGAAATTACTATAGACATTAAATCTGGGAAATATTGAGCCGTGTATTTGGTGTAAAAGGTTATCAGCCCAAGTTTTGATGAATTTATATGGCATAAAAGTGAGTCACTGACTGATGAATAATTGAATAAACCTCTCTCGATTATAAAACTGGACTTTATTTGACAGGCAGTCTAGTTCCCTTGTAGACCCTTAGAGTACCAATTTTGATTGTGGAAAATTACTTGCAGGAGAAATGGCAGAGCCTTGATTAGTCACAAGAGTTGCTTGGCAGTAACAACATAAAATATAGCCTTCAGGAAACTGATGTTAAATTGAGCTCCGCTACTGAAACAAGGAAGGCTTGAAGAGGCTTGTGTTATGTTAAATTTGTACATACCTAATGTCAGTAATTCAACATTGTTCCATAGTTTAAAAAAATAAATAAATCTAGTGATGACCGGTAGTAACTGTAAGCTTTTGTAAGAAAAGCAGCGCTGAATTTAGCGTAGGAGAGCGTAAGACTTGTAGAATAAAAGGCTAAATAAACTTAGCCAGCAGCTATCTAACTTGAGAGTATTTATAGTGGTTAGTAACATTCAGAAGCATTGTTTTTTCTAGTTTGTGGATGGATGTTATGCTTCCGCTTTGCCTTGCAGTTTGTTTTAGTGTACGTTGCTCTCTCTCTTTGAGGGTGATTAGTTTGACTTTTAACAATTTTTTTCCTATATGTAGCCCTCTTCTTAATGTACCTGTTTGCATTTTCTTTGCAAACTTTTACATTCCGCAGCTTATTATTGACTAGTGTCTCTTTTCCCCGTCAAAGAAAGTGTTGACAGTATGAATGTCTTTTTTTGCTTCCTTATTTGACTTTTGCTCTTTTGAATCTCCTTCTTAAATGACTTTGGACTATGAATGAAGCTTTAAAAAAATCCCTTCAGTCTTCCTTGCTTTGTTTATGTGGACCGCATCACAGACTGCAATCAGTTTCTTCTAACTTGTTTGATCCCTATTTGCCATAGGTAGTGGACTTATCACAGTGGGTTTTATATACAGAGAACAGACTGAGTAGGAGGTGCAATGCTGTGTGTAATTCTGCAAAACCAGAAGGGAGCAGGGTCTGAGGATGACCCACACTGCTGCATTTTACTTTGCTCAGCCAGTTCCTCCTTGTCAATGATGGAAGTGGGAAGAGATACAACAGCCTTTACTCATAACTGGTTGACTTCTTAGTTGAGTTTGTTTTCATCTCATGATGAGAGCTAGATCAAATACTCCTGAAGGAGGAGTTCCAGGGATGGTACCAAAGCAGCCTGCAGATGATTGCTTTTCAGACTGCCTCTCCATCGCGCATCTGTCTTCACGAGACCTCCTTGAGGCCACAGCAGCTCATTTTTTTTTTCCAGTATGGGGAGTAAGAACGTCTGTAATATTTAGCTGCCAGTATGTGCACTCCCTGCCTCGACACCCCCCACCACTTGCCTCCATGGCAGGTGGACTCCTGCCAATAATTAAGGGTAGTTAGGCTATCTTTTACTAGTGTAAATATTGGTAGCTGTTAATTATGCCCTAATCTTATTTCTCCCTCCCTATAGCCCTCACTGATGCTATGTAATCCCTCCCACGCATGCCCTTTTGTGCTCCCATGGGGGTTCATGACCCACAGTTTGAGACACACCGATTTAGCTTATTGCTGCTAATTAACCAAGAGCAGAGCGCTTGCTAAGGCTGGAACATGACTGTCTTGAAAACAAAAATGTTTCATGAGTGAAGACTTGTAGTCTTGTGCCTTCTGGGAGGTACTTACTTGGGAGTATTAGGGTAAGCTGTTAAAATAATTTATTTATTCAGTGTTACTCTAATTGTAAAAGATGTTTTATTGCTAAATGTTTCAGGCCTGTTTAATGAAGCTGGTATTGTAATGCTTCCAAAATGCATTTTCTGCCTCGGTTTATTACAATCAGTTAATGGGATCCTTGGTATTTATAGAATTTATTTCTACAAAGCAATGTTGTGTTTTATGAGTGATTCTTCAGCTTAGCTTTAAGTGGTATTTCTCCAACTCTGAGACAAAACTGTCTTTAGGTGTTAATTACTGTAAGATTTCATCATATAAAATTGGCTAATCAATGTATATTGCCAGAAATGGGGGGTTTTTTTTAAGAAAAGGGAAGAAAAAATATCTGCAAAAATGTCGTGTATTTGCTTGCAGTGGCACGTAGATAATCATCTTGTATATCAAAACAGATACGATCACATTCTGAAGTGGGAACTCTTCCAGCTAGCGGACCTGGATACGTACCAGGGAATGTTGAAGCTGCTCTTTATGAAAGAACTGGAACGAATTGTTAAGCTGTATGAAGCATACAGACAGGCCCTTCTCACTGAGCTGGAGAATCGCAAGCAAAGGCAGCAATGGTATGCCCAGCAGCACGGCAAGAATTTTTAAGCTAACAACTTTTTTTCATAGACTTTTATGAGGACACTAAGAGCTTTAAAAGGTTTTCACACTTAAAACTATGAACAAGTGCTTTGGTTGAAAAGGCAGCTTATTTTTGTTGATGTTGCACCTTTGTTACTATCCTCTTGAATATTTTTCTACATGTATTATGTATTGTTTATAAAAATGGAAAATGTTTGTTAATCTTTTTTTCCATACAAAAACTAGTTTATTATTCTGAAAACCAGTGTGGCGTTTAATCAGAGACTTGATTCTGGTATTATCTTCTTTTAGCAGTCAGTTGTATTACTGAGAAGCTGACTATATATTTTTAAGTGGCAGTAGATGCATTTATATCAAGTGTCCAGGGTGCAAAACGTTGTTAAAATCCAAATTAAGAGTTCAGTTCATTTCCCTTGGGGTTTTGTATCCGTCTCTCTAGAGAGGTCTGTTCTTTGTTTACAGCTTTAATGTACAGAACACTGATACTGTTACTTCTTGTTCAATAACTAGTACTATAACTATACAGGAGCAGATTTCATCAATCTGAGCAAAGTGCTTCAGGAAAGTGAAGTATGAGTTGCCTTATTTTTTACTTTGTTTAATGCATTATTACTTTAGATTTACTACTCGTTCTCACAGAAATTAGTCAGAGGGCAAAATACTCGTACCTTCTTAAAGACCAAGATCACTAAGCAAACTTTTCACAGGTTTTAAATGCTGAGTAAACTGCATTTTATGAAACCCAGTCATATGGGAAGGTAATAGAATTATCTAACTTACCAACCGGCTGTACCTTACCATGGAAAAAAATCAGGGATGTAACAACAACTTTTTTACTGAGCTTTGTCTTGTAATAAAGTTTCCTTACATGGGGAAAACTTTTACTTGTACCGTTACCCTCTCCAACATTTTCATTTGGTTCACCGATTGTCCTGAAATGTTATTTATGGATTCTTTTTAGTGCAATAAACATTGTTGCAGACAAAATACATTTCTTGTAAATCCTGTTGATTCAATAAAATTCTTTGTTTAATGGGTGAAAGGATGAGATCAAATGATTTTTGCCTTTTAAAAGGTCAAATAAAATGTTTTTTACAACCAAGAAAAAGATCTGATCGGGGCAGTTAAAATCAGTCACTGAGGTTCTCTGTGAAGGTGTAAGTCCAATTTGGATGTTGAATTTAAGTGTGCTGTTTTCAGTAACTGTGTAACTGAAGTGTACAGAGCTGAGCTGCGTTTTAATTCTGTAGATCAGGTGAGTCAACAAAAACAGTGTTCATGTTGTCCCCTATGTAGGGCGTGCACGAGTTCCAGGTAGAAGAAAGTTGCTTTTGCACTTAGCATCGTTCTGTGGAAAACCCAGCTGTGGCTCTTGAAGCATACAGTACCTAACTTGACATAACTGTGCAAAGTAGTTGCAGGCTTAACCCTGTGTAAATTCTGTATCTTGGAGTACATCAGTTCTTCAGATGGACAGCACAGGCAGGTGAGCAGATGTATTTTTACCTGTTGCTGTCCTTCAACGTGCCTGTAGCCCTGAGTCCTTTCCTTTAGCCTTGTTTCACTTAGAAGCTATTCTTCAGCCCTAAGAAACACAAGTTTTAGGTGAAATAAAAGCTCCTAAAACCTGGCTTTACCATCTTAGCAGCAGAAGTATCTCAGGGAGGTCACAGCTGGTCAGGAGAGCAGTCAGCATATTTTCAAAACGTCTGCTTACAAATTGAAGCACCCATTCTGAAGGCCAAAAGGATACCAAGATTCAAAAAAAAAAAAAAAAAAAAAAAGTGCTAAACGCTTGTGATAATTGCTACTATATAATGAATTCTTAGGAACAAAAAGCAAACTTTAATAGTTTTGATGATAAAAGAATAGAACTGTTGAACACACTTTCTATGCACTATAATGAATATATATATACAGAAATACAGTGAAACTTTCTCAAATACATGTACAAAGTGATAGTTTGTGCATTAGTTATGAACAAAAATGTATGCTTTCCTTACAATGTCATTAATATACTGTAGCAGAAGTGTCCTTACAATTTCTGACAAAGCCAGTTAATACTTTTTTTTGATTATGTTGATGTAATTAGCTCATATCTGCCATGAGCTACTTAAAGTTAACTAAAGAAAAACCTTGATTACATGTTACACTTGTTCAAGTATCGGAAAATAAGTTGCCGTCTGAATAATGCTAGGGTTTGTCTGGAAGTATTTAGTTGCAGTATCATGTACATGATCATGAGATCACTGATGGAAATTATGCCAATTAAAAAAGGTGGAAAATAAGAGTTCATAAATTAGCTGGGAATTACACTTGATAGTACAAATTAAAAGCACTTTGTATTTGCAGCAAAACAAATATGTACATATTAACAAAATGATAAACATGCCTACATCTTCCCATCAAACAGCGTGTTGTCAAAGTAAAATGAACATATCGAACCATCTTACAAGTGACTTGTTCTTCACTCTCCCTGCTCCACAGCAGGAGCTTGTGAAGGCTACACCGATGAAAGTATTTAACTGATGATTAGATGTATGCATCTCGTTCATGCACTGACAGGAAAACTTCTGGCTTACATCTTCTTCCTTTCTGAGCCCTCGGTAGATTCTGATTTCTGTGCAGGGAAGGCGTGATGATACAAATGTCTGTGAGTTGCTGCTGCACTATACAGTTTGTACAATGCCTTAAAAAAAAGAGAGAGAGAGAGAGAAGAGGCTTACTTTCTCAGTTCAGTATGCTTATAACACAGAGGCTTTGATTTTTGTTTCCATAGCACAGCTGCAGGGTCAAACCAGTTGCAGTCTGCCATTTGTTTTGTACGTTAACATTTGGTTCTAGGTAAAGTGTCCAAAAGTTAAGAGTAGCGGTCAAGAGTTTGCTAATCTTTCAAAACTTCTTGCGTATGGGAAATGCTCTGTTGAATTGTATTAATTCAAGAGATGCCTGGCATGTGAGTAAGGTATCTACAAGGATTGCCCTTCTCTAGTGGTTTCACATGCAAAATTTATATGTCAGCATGCGTAGCATTTTGTGTTACACCACCAGGCAGACACAAACGATGTCATACAGTAGGTTCTGCTGTGTAAGATGTGTCAGCGGTTTTTGGGGGTTTTTTTCCTAGAATATTTTTCTGCAGATGACTGCAGATTTAGTTCTTCAAATTTTTTTACAATGTTTCCATTGTACCTGTGGTGCATTTTCCTTTTTTTTTTTTTTTGATGGGAAAGCCTGTCCTTTGCAAATACCAGTACCATTATGCTAATAAATCAGCGTCTCCCTGTGTCTGTAGAGAACGGTGATAGGCTGCTGTCCTCAGCCATAGCACTATAGTGGATCAGAGGGTAAAAGTTACATGCCTGATGTTGGAGTAATGCATTTTTGTCAGCTTGAGCAGGAGTGGTGCAACTTTCTTGGCGTGCGTCCTTAGTCAGTGTGGCTGCAGTCTGCATTCCCCACACAGCATTAACTTCAGCATAGCCACAGGATCAGGACCAGGCGTTGGTCTTGTGCCAGGCTGCAGCTGGAGGCCCTGTCCCTCTGCAACCCTGCTACCCCAAGGCAACCAGTGGTCTCCCTCTAGCCTCCTACTGTCCTCTCCGCCCTTGTTGCCTTCTTACTGAATGCTAATTGCAGAGGAGCTGGCACCAGATCACTTATGTTGCAGAGGCCATAGAGGGCAGGGTTATCACAGCTTTGATGTTCTTCCAGCGCAAATGAATTGTGGGAGGAGGGGGAAGCACTAGCTCCTGCCTGACACCATCTGTTCACATGAGCCCTTTAGTGCTCGACATCTAGATGACTGGGGAGGACACAAGGCTACTGCCTGACAGAAAACCCCGTCCTGCCTGGGCGCGTTTCCATGTGTGCTGGGGCGGGGGGGGGCCTCAATAACCAGACGAAGCAGGTGAGGAGACTCAGCAAGAAGAAGGGTAAAGAGATGACATCTGAGGAGTTTGGTTGTTTGTTTGTTTGTTTTTTAAAAGGATGCTGACCCTATCCCTGATACGGCACAGGAAAGCGAGATGGAGATTTGGCGAGAGGCAGATGCCTGTGCGCTATAGGACGAGACAGGCCTGCTGTGCCTCTGGTTTTCTTCCTTTTCTAGCGCCTAAGCTCGACACCACTCCTTCAAGTCTGCCGTAACACAAACTTTCAGCACTCCATGGCATTTTTAAGACTGTCTTCCACCCCCGAACTCCATCCCCCCCCAACCTCTTTCTCAGCAGAAAGGATTTGTGCACGGGCTCTTCGGTAACATGCTCTGCCTCTTGCTGTGGCCCAAGGCAGAGCGAAGTCTAGGGACCCAGCGCTGAGGGCAGAAACGTTTCCTTTTGGGAAGCTGCTCAGGCGTTGGGGAGCAGAGAGGTACCACCGCAGGCCTTCTGCCGTGGCCACGGGGAACGAACGCAACGCGTTGCGCTGCAGCTACGTTTAAGATGTTCTTTCGGATGCATGAGACCTGCCCCAAATTTTTTCCAAGAGGAAATCCCCCCCAACCACTCAAGTGGCAGAAAGCAGCGTCAACAGCAAACGAAAGACGGCGGTGCCAGGCCTTGGGGGCAAGAAGAGCCGCCTTCGTCTCGCACCTCAGGATTAATGGAAGTGAGCAGTAATACCCATCGGCAGATATTCCTTTTTGCCCCCCCGGCTCCCTCCTGCACGGGGCTGGGGCTGAACCCTTTTCCGGTCACAGTCGCAGCAGGCTTGGAAGGCACGGCGGCCGCGTTCACCACTTCAATATGGTATTCCTGTTGCTCTGTGTTGCTGGAGCAGCTGTTTTGTCACAATAGTGAGTTTCAGATGAGTTTGTGTGAAGACTTTGGTATTAATTTTACTCCAGAACTGCTAAATACAATACTATATTTAGCCAGAGGCTAAAATTTACTTCTAGTAAGGGATCAACTGCTTGAAATGTTGATGCAGTCTCAGCTGTGTCACTTAGAAAAGGGTGTGGCGTTTCATAACTGTTTAGCAACAGACACAGTTTTTTACCTTACAAGGCTTTCTGGCAGTTCATTTCATTATGAAGGGAAAATATTCTGTATCTGCCAAAGAAAACTTCTCTGCCTTTGGGAAGGCAAAGAAATCGGATAATCCTCAGTCCTTTGGGTGCTATGCTATTGTATTTTCCCAGAACTGAGTAATTACAGTTGTGTCAGTTACAAGGGAAACAAACAGATGGGGCTCATGCCTTTTGTGAGCAGTAAGGTGCATCACAGATAAATTTTGTTTCTCGAGCAGTTTCCAGAAAAAATATTGCAATTTTAGTTTTGCTTGGAATATATCTTTTAAAAGATCAAAATCCTGCTTAAAATATCTATTTTCCACAGCTTCTGTTTTCCGTCACAGCTGTAGATCAGATGAGGAGAACAGTTCCCAAGAAAGTTCATAGAAAAGTTAAGAGTAAAAACTCTTTCAATTGAATCAACCAACTCGACACTTCTTAATAAAGCTGAGTTTTCTTATGTTTCTGCCACTAAAAATAAAATCTAATGGACAAAGTTGTGTGCCACAAGCCATCATTCCTTGATTCTTGTTAAATATATTGCTCTGAGGTATAACTACTGCATCCATGTTAAACTGTCCTGCAAAGAAAGGAAAAAAAAAAAAAAGTGGATTTGTGAACACTTCGCCAGCGAGGTCCTACTGGAAGCTGGCCACTTCCAGCAAGTTTGGGTTCCCACAAATGAGCATTTTTGTGCTAGATAGGGGGGGAAAGGCAGAACAAAACAGTTCGCTGCGAGGTTTCCGGCCAGCCCTCACCCCCCCACCCCAACCTGGGCCTCCGGCTCATCTCTAACACCGGCGGCGAGACCCGAGCCCGGCGCCGGACACGGGGGA